GTATACACCCAGAGAAATGGTTGTCTATGCAGTAAATGCCAGTAAGTTTTGGACTTTTTCAGGCCAGGATATCTCAAACCCTAGAAATGTCTTTTATGAGCAATTTGCATTTATTTCATCTACTTGATTATTATTATTATTCTGTTTGAGCAAAAGTCATAAAAATGAATTAAGTCTCATAAAAAGAGTTATTATAATGTTTTCACCCGATCCAACCAAGTTAATATTTGAGTAAATATACTTTCTTTTCTAGAATGAATATCATTTATACATAGGTGTATTGATGGGCCTGGTGTCTCCATGGAAACCCCTTTAGTAGGTGGGTTTACCTGCTGTGCGTCTCCCAGCTGTTTGAAGCTGGCCAGCACGGCTCCCTCGGCCCTGCATGCGGCGTCGGCCTGACTGAAGTTCATCTTGTACTTCCCGTCAGGAGAGCGCAGGTGGAACACTCCGGCTGTGTTCGCTGGAAAACAATAGCCATGCTGCCTTTATCTTTACCTCAGATTAAAAAAAAATGTTTCTCTACTTGTGAAAAATAAATGAAAAAAAACCATCAGGTACATTGTTGGGAAAATACTGAATGTAGTCTTCCAATATCAGAGTACACCTGATAACAAAGGCCCTACATAGCTGTGTACGTAACAGGACTAAGATATTCAAAAAAATAATATTTGAAAACTGCAAGTTACTGTGAAGACAGGAGCTGATTGGCGGTCCTGCTATGAATTCACAGAGGGCCCGCTATAGTAACTCAACAAGAGAGTAATGTCAAATGACAGTACAATTGACCAATCATATCTTCCCTCTAAATGCGTGGGCTTTATTTTCGCGGACTTTATGACAAGTTCCACCCGCTGTGAAGTTGATGCATGTGTGTTATAGTGGTGCAGTGACGCGTCCTAAAACCCAGAAGTAAGCTGCGCATTGGTTCCCTTGACAAAAAAGCAATGTGATTTCTCCATAGGATTTTGGAAAATAGTTTGAAATAAGGTCAGTGGAAAACGAACCTGTTAGATGCAGCCGGATAATATCCACATGTCTACTCTACTTTTATAATTTTCGAATCATAAATCTAATCGATAGAAGATAGATAGTGTCACTGCACCACTCTCACCACCGTTAGAAAGTAGTAAGCAACTGAAGCAAGTGCAATTATGGAGGGTGGAGATTTGGAGTATTTAATAAAAAATAATTGTACTAAACTTCCGCTACAGCAACAACAACAAATAAAATCTGATGACAGGCCAATGCCCAAACTGGAGCTGTGTACAGAGAGGAAAAAAGGAGCGAATCGGACGTAAAACGTTAAAGGTCTCCTGATTTAGTTTGTGAATGAAGGCTTATAAAGGCCCTGACACACCAGGCCGAAATCGGCCGTTTTCGTTAGTCAGACGACGAAGCGTGCCCTGTCGCCCAAACTCAATTTGGTGTGTCCCGCACCGTCGGCCGTGACACGCCACAGGCATTTGAACAAAGAAATCACTCTGATTGGCTGTTGAGCTAGCGAATCAGTGCATGAGAAGCGAAACGGTTGCTTGAGAATGTCTTCCACAAGCAACACTCCAATGGCTGATAGCTCCAGTACCGCACAAAGCATGTTTTCGATGGACGAGAATGAAAATGGAACGCACACACTATTTGTTGTTTGTTTATATCACGTAGTCTGTTCTTCTTCTCTGTCTTCCGGTTGTTGCCTCTTTTGAATGACGAATACAGACTCCCGCCGCCTGCTGGTAAGGAGAGTTATTGCCACTCACGCATACGCAATTCGTACGTGCTCGGCTGAAGTCTTTGCGGTGTGTTCCAGTGCGACACATGGCCAAGACGCAGGAGAACACGCCAACGCAACTGTCGGCGTCAGCGTCGGCGAGTTCTCTGGTGACTGCCTGGTGTGTCAGGGCCTTAAGAGTTTCGGCTGGAGAGTGCGTGCGGACCTGTCGGTTAGATATCAGACGTGTGTAAGTCCTGCATCTGTATGATGCAAATGTGTGTAAAATGATACGGGGCGCTGTAATCACTCATCTGGTTACAGCTTTACATTGACCACCACATTGAAAAATCTGAAAGCAGTCCGTCATTTTGACAGATTAGAACAAACTCGGAAAAGCGCCAAAGCTTCCCCGCAGCGGGGCTCCGGTGTTATGCCGTGTTATGCATGCCCGCCAAAAATGCAATGATATTGTTTCCAAACCTAACTTTGCCGTACAAATCATTGAAATGTCTGGGAGTTTTTGCTTTACACTGTGCGCGCTCCCGCAAGGTGCATTGGGCATGCACAACAAGGCATAACACCGGTGCTAACAGTTCACGAGCGTTCTGATGCTCACTTGCCCATTCGAGGCGCTTTTGGCAGTGGACAGGGTTAGCATGGGCACCCTGACCGGTCTGCAGCTACGCAGCTCCATACGCAACAAACTGCAATGCACTGTGTGTTCCGGCACCTTTCTAACAGAACCAGTATGAACTGTTTCAGCATTTGAGCTACAGTAGTTCTTCTGTTGGATCGGACCACACAAGCCAAACTTCACTCTCCACGCGCATTAATGAGTCTTGGCCGCCCATGACCCTGTCGCCGGTTCACCGGTTTTCCATCCTTTGAATGCATAACCCAGGGAAAGTAGGGGAACTGGAAATGTATATTTGTAATATTTTATTTTGTTTGCTTTATGTATAAACGTGCTATAGCCTTCTTAGGATTCTATTTTATTTCCCTCATTTTTATTTATGAACAAATTCTTCGTTTTTATGTAATTATTGGTACTTTACATTGTCTGTCACTATGTGTGTGTATAGGTTTTTATATACCATAACAAAATAAAAACTGTTTAAAAAAAATAAGGGAATGAAGTTATTCAAAGGGCCATACCAGAGCCAAGGAAAATCCTCATCCGTGATTGGCTATCAGTAAGCTTTGTGTTAAAAAGCTAGCTAATGTTTACCACAAAACTGCCATATGTATCTAGTTGTAAATGCAGTATCATAACCACACCCTGATTAATGAGCACCAGTAAGAATCGTGTTGGGGTAATAACGAGCTTATGTTTAACAAGCTGTAACAAGCTCATGACCCTAACAAGCCCTTACAAGCTCACAGCCTTAACGAGCTAATTAAAGGTCAGCTGCTGTAGAATAAGCGGTTACCATGGCAACTGCAATGGAGTAAGACTATGGAGCCAAAATGATTCTCAGTGGAGGCATTATTACAGCTACTGGTTAATTTACCATTGCCATGGTAACACAACAATTTGGTGTTACAGTGTTATGGACGTGTAACAAAATCTGCGTTACTGATGTGTAACTATGGTTATTGAGGTCAGTGAGGATGGTATCAAGGGAATAAAGGCATTGGGGATGTGTTACAATGGTAATAAAGTGCTTACAGAGTTTTACTAAATGCTAACATTATTGTTGTATTATTAAATGTAAATTATCTTTATTTATAACAGATAAATAACAAGTTGTAATAAAACTAAGCCTAGCTTTGTTACCATCGTAATAATAGTTGTGTGGAATAAACGCATAAATAAATAAATTTTAATAATAAACAGTATAGATGTGTTACCGTCGTAAAGAAAAGGCATTATAAACCATTGCAAAAAAAAGCAATGCTATTTTTTTGGCATGCTAACATAAGTTAAGACAGATTGTTACAGATGTTACTATTGTAATAATATTCTGTAAGGATTTGTTACCATGGTAGTAATCTTTGTAATAGTCAGTAAGGGTGTGGTATTAATCATTGTAATAGCAATCAGTAAAGATGTGTCACAACAGTAGTAATAATTTTGATCTCAGTAAAGATGTGTTACCATGGTAATGCAGGTCCTTGCAGGTGGCCACGGGGTCGCAGTCTCCATTGTCTTCCAGGCAGCGGTCAACAGGGGACACCATCTTCTCCAGACACTGGACTCCATTACCCACGTAGCCCGGCAGGCACTCGCACTGACGCTCGTTCTGGAGGAACCAGATTACTAGTCAGCAGGTTAAACCAACATATGTGCTCATATTAATTCCAACTATTTAATATATTTTATCATATAAGGTATATTAAGAAACCTGTTTAGTCGACTAAGATTACATGGTTAAGTCTGATTTTTTCTTTTGTTGTCTTATTGCTGTTGTTATTTAGCCTTTCTGAGAATAAACCAAGATACTGAACACGTAGATTTGGAATGGACATGGCAATTTAATCACATACACGACAGAGATGATTCAAAAACAGTATTATTTAAATGGTTATTGTTTTATCAAAAAAGGCTATAAATTATGTTTTTTCTAGGGGAAAAAACAGCAATTCTATGTAAAAGTTGACATTTGTGCCCCCCATACAGGCAAATAGAAGTAATCCTTTGTTTCATCACCATATTTTTGACAGTGACATTTGTTCCTTTGATTTAATTGTCAGATAATTTACTATTACAGGACACGCCAAGTGTTTAGGGCCATTTATTTGTTCAGATCAGGGCAGGTTGGGGCAGGAAGATCAATACAGTTTTGTGTGTTGGGAAAAAGAAAATTAACTCACTGGACCAGTGAACTTGCAGGAGGCAAAGTCACTGCAGCCTCCGTTCTCTTCAATACATCTGAAATACAAACAGACATCCGCCTGATTTCCCTTATCCAACTGTGTCAGAGTATACAAAGTCTCCTTTGGTAAAGAAGAAGAGAAACAGGCATTTTATTAGAAGAAATTATGGCCACGCCCACCTGTTGATGGGCTCACATGAGTAGCCGTCTCCCTGGTAACCGCTGGTGCAGGTGCAGTTAACAATCAGCCCGGTCTGGTTACAGTCGGCGTTCTGGTGACAGCCTCCGTTGTACTCAGCGCAGAGGTCAGGAGCTGAGGAGTGATTTAAAAACTCTGCTCAAAATGTGGATTCATCAGAATAAATGATCTTGATATTTACGCAGACCTCTCATTATTATATTGAGAGCATACATCAATCAGGTACACAATTAAAAATAATATATATATTTTTTTTTACATTTCCTAATTATGAAGGAAACAGAAAACCTGTACATGTATATAGGTTTAGATATTTTCATTAAATGTATTCTGATAAATTTCCTCCCACGATCTTCCTGTTTGTCATTTCTTTTGTACAAAGAAAAAGAAAAAATCAAGTTTAAGTCAATCTTAAGTGCCAAGGTGAAAACACCAAAGTATGGTTTACATGTCTACCTTGTCAAGTGACTACATCATTTCGAGTTTCAATTGTAAAAAGATTTGTTGCGCATGTGTTGCTAGTAGTAGGCTTTAAGGAATACTGGAAAACCATCTGGTTGGGGGGGAGGAGTGAATTTGTCCGTTAGCACCTAAAGATTATGTGAGCTTGACCAGTCACCCTTTCCCCCTAAAATGTACTGTGTATAATAAAGCTAAAGTACAATGTTGATACAAGGTGAATGTAAAGTCATCACTGTAACTCCATAAATACAGATATCTTCCATCTGATAAAGAAAAAAGACTGAAGCTATTTGAGTCACGGCTGGGTCACGGTGATCTAACATCCTGCAGTAAGTCTTCAGCCATCAATGAAGACATGTTTGTTGTTATTAAGTCTTGAAGGTCAGAGCTCTGTTTTCAGTTTCTTTTGAGGCTTCAAAAATATTTGTAATCTGTATTATATATCTGGAGTCTATTTGTATATAACATTACAAGGTTGATTATTATTATTACATTATATGCTCATGAGATGTTGCTATGACTATGGAATAAATAGACACAATCACCAATCCCAGGTTCTGATGGGTTGGATACGAAACAAAGTGAATAGTCATAGAAGAAAGTTTTAGCTTGCATTAGAAATGTTGCAAATACTAGGATGCAGATACTGTAGAGTTATTGAAAACAGGAGATCGCCCTGGCCATGAACAGTGTGTGTGTGCTCAACGCCTACGCATAACAGGGAACCAGTATTATGGATGATTCCTGCTATCTGTTACAAGCAGCTTCAACAAAAAAAATTACGTAGGATAGCGTGACTAGAGTAACGAGGGGACCTTTACAGGCCGGCCGAATGCTGATTGGAGGTTGTGTTGCCATGAGACTTGGACTAAGTCTGTGCACCAACCAGGGAGGCCAAAGTCTTAACCACGGTCCTCCCCTTCTAGTCTCAACCAATCATAAATGTACGGGCAACGCCCTGAATAATAAAATGTATGTGTGCACGAGGTTCAAGGCTTTTTCCGGAAATAGTGGTTACAGAATACAGATCTGCTGCCTGTGATTTCTATGACCTGACGGAGTCCTCGGCCAAGTGAGTATATATGTTGCTCTTTTAATAAATAGTTGAACTTAGAAGTTTTTTGTCTTTCATGGAATAAAAGAACACAACATATGACACCATCACCATGCTCTTGTTAGATTGATACATCTTATTTGTTTGCCACTACAAATACTGTCATCACGCTGACAAAAAGCTGGCTGTAAAAATTGTCTGTCCAGCTGCAGTACACTCACGTGGCTCTGGATCGCAGAAGGTGCCGTTCCCCTGAAACCCGGGTTTACACTGACAACCAACACCTGGCACACAGTCGGCCTGCGCGGGGCACTGCAGGCACTCTTCTGGGATGGAGCCTTGACACAGAAATGAATCAGAGAAGGAAATTAGAAAGTATACCTGCGTGGTCCTGCCTGATGCCAATGGTAATATTTTTGTGGCAGATTCTGGAAGATTTTTTGACATCCTCCTTGATATTCATTTTTAGATACATTCACCGAAACCTTTTATCATTTAGATTGTCTTTGTTGTCATTTAGTTTTTTCTTTTAATTTGAACACACAACTAGGCCTGTCGCGATAATCGATAAATTGACTTATCGTACGATAAATTGACTTATCGTACGATAAATAAAAATGGACTCGATAACTTTTCTGAGCTCGATAAATTGCCGTTTACATGCGTGTTTGTTTACATAAGGATGTGACCAGCATTTTAGCTAGGAGCGCTGTGGCTGCCAGACGAGCTGTGGCTGCCGGCCATGCGCGCTGTGAGGGGCGGGGCTGACACACAGCCAGGTCAGGACACTCTGTGTGCACGTGCAGCAGCGTAGCAGCCAAATTAATAATATAGCGACAAGCGGGAGACAACGTGTGACTTACTCACGGGGAATTTAAAGTGAAATGGAATTGGTTACAAAACCTACACATCTCGATTCTCCGGTGTGGCAGCGGTACAGCGTCCGACCCTCCCTCTAAGCTCCCATCTGGACCTTGGGCTCCACCTCCCTAATTATAGACGAAGCGACCAGGGACGCCTTCGCGCGGGAAACCTAGTCGGCGGCTCAGTCGTCGACCACCTTACAACGCGTCCCTTTTCTTTCAAACGCCCTAGACGACCGACCTTTGACGATTTGCGGGGGCGCTGGCGGTGGTGCCTTTTCGGGCTGCTCTTCTACCTAGCCTACGCTTACCTGTCTCGAAACACAAAAAGGGGGAAAGTGTAAGACTCTTTGTTGACAAAAGAGACTTTAGCACCTCGGGGTTTCTTGATGTGGTATGGGGGGTGGGGGTTCAGGGTCGGACAAACAACACTCGAGTCGCCGGACATGTCGCGAATGGCGCTGGGGTTTGGGGGGCACTAAATTAGAAGTTTGAGGACCCTAATCCAACAACCTTTCACCGTCGAACGCCGGGTTCCAATGCCGGCTCGCAAGGGTTCGAGGAACCCTTTACCTCGCTTTGGAGGTTGACCCCGTCTGATATAAGTTGTTCGACCTCTGAGCTCTGGCGGGGGGTCGTCCTTGATGTGTCACGACCCGATAGGACAACAAAGCCCGTTTGTTTTCTCTTTACTTATTAACCGATTAGTGTTTATTTGACGTTGTGTCGTGGTT